CCACTAAAATGCAAATATTCCAAAATCTGAAAAAAATCCAAAACACTTCTGGCTAAAAGCATTTTGGCTAAGAAATAATTGACCTGTACTATACTTCATTAAGATAGCTGAAATTTTTAAAAACTAAAAGTGCTACCTTTTGCAAGTATGCAGAGCAATTAGAATGCCTATAAAACAGATGGAATATAAAATGGTACAACCATTTTTTTAAAGTGTGGAGTTTTTTTATAAAGTGAAACTTCTAGACATTTACAGAAATAAAAACATACATTACACACAAAAAACAGTACATTAATTTTCACAGCCAATAACAACTGTATGAATAAGCAAACTGTGGCATATCCATGTAAGAGACTACTATTTAACCAAAAAAAATGACCTACTCAAGCAATAATATGAGGATGTGCTAAATGATTCCCTTTACAAAAAAAATTCTATCCAGCTACTTGGAAGGCGGAGGTGGTTGGGTCACCTGGGCCCAGGTGGTCAAGGTTGCGGTGGCCAGGAGTGTGCCACTGTACTCCAGTCTGAGAGAGAGAATGAGACTCCAACTCAAAAAAATAAAAATAAAAAAAATTCTAGAAAGGGTAAAATCGTTCTATAGTAACAGGGAAAGGTTGGAGGACAGTAGGGAAACCCTGACTGCAAAAGGACAAGTAGGCACTTTTTTGCATCACAGAAGTGTTCTCTACTTTGATTTCAGTGGTTTCACAGATGTATACACTTGTCAAAACTCATAAAACTGTACACTTAAAATGGGTAAGTTTCATTGAATGTAAGTTATACCTCAATAAATATAATTAAAATGTTAAATATCAATGGAAGATTCCATGTAAACAATGTCTCAAAGTTAACAAACTACTTTTTTTTTATCCTTCTGCCTCAGTCTTCCAAGTAACTGAAACTACAGGCATGCACCACCACTCTTGGCTCATTTTTCTTGATTTATTGTAGAGATGAGGTCTCGCCAACTTCCCCAGGCTGGTCTTGAACCTGTGGGCTCAGGCAATCCTCTCACCTCAGCATTCCAAAGTGCTGGAATTATAGGCACCCAGAACAAACTACTTTTAATATAATGAAAAATACTGTCTTGTAAATCTCCTAGGTAAAAGTAAACCTTTCAGAAAGCATAAAATATTTTTAAATAAATTATTTTCATGTTTAACTACATCAGGACAGTTAATGACTTGTATTTATTAGCCTTAACTAAATGAGAATTATTGTGAAATTTCTAGAAACTGGGCTAATTTAATGAAGTTCATAACTGTTAGTTTGCTTCCCAACAGCAATAACAGACCATAAACAGACATGTATATTGTCTACACAAATACAAATGGCTCATTCCTCCACCATAACTAACATACACTTTACACTGTTGTGGATAACAACGTGCCCAGTTGCCGGGTTTGGTGGCTCACACCTGCAATCCCAGTATTTTGGGAGGCTGAGGCGGGAGAATTGCTGGAGGTCAGGAGTTCAAGACAACATGCCCACTAAAGAACTACATTTCCCAGCTTCCCTGAAGTTAATACAGTCTTGAAGCTACTAAGTATAGCCAGAAGTCTTGAAAGGTAATTCCTGGAAGTTACCTCAAAAAAGGGTATGTCCCTCCCACATTTCTTCCTCCTTACTACCTACAATGCCACCATTTAAACAGCCATTTTGGACTATATGCTACTAATGATTAACTAAGGACAATGGAGTAACAAGAGCCCAGATCCCTTGATGGACAAATCAGTTCTAAAATGCCTGCCTCTAAGTTTCCTGTACAGAAAAGAGAAATTTGTTTAAGCTATTATTCTATTTTTAAAAAAAGGAAACGATTATGTCACTAAATAAATCACTTTGATGAGCATTTTAATAACTGGTTTTTTATTTTTTAAAAGCTTGAAGGCTTTTAGCAAGGTGATAATTTTTATATTTTAGATTATACAGTTACCATAGGCTTTTTACCTTGCCTCAGTCATTGATCAAAACAATAAATTATAATTTTTCATTTTCCGAATGATTCCTCGATTTGAAATAGTCTAAAAAAAAGAATCTATTCCCCTATGTGTGGGAAGAAATTTTAAGCTACATTATTACTCCATTAATCTCTGATGAAACTTTAAAAAATGTAAACTGTATTATCACTCCATTAATCTCAGGCAAACCTATATGCTCCAGTGAGTTCTACCTTAGTGCATGCACTAAATTATATGGTCTACACTGTTAATTTTTAAAAGGCTGAGAAAAGTGACCATTAATGTTTGGAACAGCTAGGAGCTTCACTGAAGTCCTAAAAGGAATTTAGACAGGAGTATAAAGAAAAGCATACAACAAAATGTACTGGTTACAAGTTCAGGCTCTGAATTAAGAGATTCAGTTTCTGGTGACCTTAGACAAATTACTTAAATTTCTTGCTTCAGTTTTCTTACCTGAAAAATGGGAAGAGCAGAATCTACCTCATAAGGACCTCATGAGCATTAAATGAGAAAAATACACATAGCTGGAAGTTAAGCAGTGCCGGCCCTGCAATAAGCACACTTAGAAACAGCAAAAGCTCTCAGGGGAGAATGTGCATTACATGTAAAGGTTTAAGTTGAAATACAAATTTCTATTACACAAATAAATAAATACAGTAGTTGGAAATTTTAAAAAGAAAACAACAAAAGACTTTTTAGAGATTAAACACCTTTAAAAATTAAAAAAAACTCACAAAAGACACCTGGATACCCATACATATGACAAGATTATCATAATGTAACTAGAAATCAAAAAACTGAAAATTAAAATAGATTTATTTTGCTTAGTGGCAAAAGTTAAAATGAGTAAGTTCCATTACAGGCAAGGACAGAAGTGGGCATTATAAACTGCCCACAGGAATGTGAGCAGCTATATCTTTTTTAAAAGTTTATGACTATAACTTTCAAATTTTAATGCATAACTGTACTATACAGAAAAAAAAATGAAAGAATCTTAATGTTTCTCATAGTTGATGGTTAAACAAACAATATATCCATCTTATGAAACAGGATATAGCTGTTTAAAAATGTAATAAAAAAGGATGATGCATATCTAAATTTACTGACATGAAAAGATTTTAAGACAATGTTAATCAGAAAAAGATAGTGAATTATCCCTTATCTGTAATTTTTAAAATTACAAGTCTGTCTATCATCAATAGAATGCATTAAAAAACTGTGGTATTAAGAGTAAAATACAAATGTACAGTTTGAACTTTTCTTAAATTCGTATTAGGTATTAGGTACACAGGTGTTCACTGTATCATGATTCTTTCAACATTATGTGTAATTTACACAGGTTATTTTTATCTATTCAATATCTAATAAAACAATTTTGAAACTGCATATGTGTTTAGGCCCACAGATACATGCAAAAGGATAAAAAAAGGCTGGAATAATACAAACTAAACTACTAGTAGGTACATTCCTGTGGGGGAGGGGCAAAATCCTTCAAGTTTTATGTTAGACATTTCCATATTGTTTGAATCTGAGATAATTGTGTAAATTTTTATTAAATTTTTCAAAGAAATTACTTTTCCATTAAAATCATAAGAATTGTAAACACATAGAAAATATGTGAGTACAGCTGAATAAAAAATTCTATTTACACTGTGATTACATCTATATGTACAAAAATGTGCACACTAACAAGAACAGAAGAACTGAGGTAAATCTGATCTAATGGAGTGGTGGAAACATTGGTAGATTTTTTACAATTTTCATTTCTTGGAAGTATTATTTCTTGGAAATATTTTGTATTTCATTAGTATCACCTCACTTGGAGAGAAATTAAAGAAAAATGACAACTGCAGGAAAGCCAACTTCTCTACATTCAGGGTAGCCAAGTGAAAAATCTCCTCACATGGAAAGGCTGAATAAATTTACAGCCAATCTACAATGGATAGTACATGCTGTGCCAGTAAGTGCACTCAAAACAACTGGAGAGGGTCCCCACCACACCAAGGAGATTACATCAAAAGGTTCTGAAGTGCATATGTACATTTTAGCGCTTAACTGAGAATTGGTACTGTCACATAAAAGTGCAACAGCCACGGAGAAGACTCCTGAGCACAGGGAGCCCGGGAACACATTGAAAAAAGTTAAAAGGGGTAGGGAGAGATGGGCAGGGATGGAGGAAGGGAGGGAGGAAGGGAAATAAAAATACAACATGGCATAATAAGTACACCCTCAAGTAACTAACAAAAAAAAAAAGTACTGTACACTCAAAAATCTAAGTGCTAAGAAAACAGAAATAGGAATGACAGGAATGAAAATTTAAAACAAGCCAGGTTCAGTGGCTCAGCCTGTAATACCGCGCCTTTGGGAGGCGGAGGTGAGTGGATTGCCTGAGCCCGTGGGTTCGAGACCCGCC